TGGGTGCAGTGATTGGCCGCGCACCGGCTCCACCCATTCAGCCGAGAGCTCACACACGTACGCAAGCACACACACGCACGCTCAATCGCGCGCACACAACCGCTCCGACTTGTAAACTGCGTGTAATTTGCTCGCGCGTGTGTGTGCGCAAACCGTTTTTGTTCGGCATGCGTCGCGAAAATGACGAAGAACGGGCGCGGTGTAGTAGTTGTGGTAGTTGTGGTGGTGGTGGCGGTGGTGGAGGTGGTGGTGACGGCGACGGCGCGGCGGAGGTGCAGATGGCGGGATGCTGCGACGACGGCGGTGGAGGTGGCTGCAGAAAGGCGTCCGTAATCGTAACCATGGTAACGGTTTCGGCCTAAGAGAACTTCATTAGGAGCTGCTATATACCGTTCAATCACGCCGCCGCCACCGCCACCGTTGCCTATACTTATACATATATATATATATGTGTGTGTGTGTGTGTATATGTAAAATAATATATATATATATATATAATGGATGTGCGGCAAACGCGAAAATCCCCGGGCCGTCGAATACCTCCGCAGGATCGAGCACGTCGTCACCGCATCCTCCGCGGTCTACACAAAATAATATATACGCTTATTTGTATGCCGAAATGTAGAAGAGATGCTATATTTATATATGTTCTATTTATCTATTGAATTTACATACGAGTGAACGTGTGGTATATTATTTTATTAAACACAAATCATCTGTAAATATAAGTCATCATCAATTATCAATAGATAATGTGTATTATTGTGTTGATAATAATTAAAAATTGAACACGTTACATGCTAAAACGGGATCGGTATACTGCTTAAAATTGGTAAATATTGCGTTCAATCGTAATTATTTCTGTTAGTTTTTACCTAATCTTATTGCAAGCTTTAAAATATTTTACAAAAGACACACTATAATATTATACTGTCATAACTCATAAGCGTTTATATACATTGTATTCATTGTTATAAGCGTGCTGTTTTGACGATGCAATTCTTAGTGTGACTTAACTAGTAATACTAATTAGTAATTTAAGTGTTTTCAATTACTAATAATCACTATATAGATATTATCATTTAGATATTAAGATAATATAATAAAAATTATACTATACCTACAGCACATTGTTTTGGGACCAAATGTAAGCAAACAATATTATAAGAAAACAATTTTCTGTAAGTTCCATAATCAAAATACGCATATTCATTTTATTTATATATATAATTAACTTTTTTTTCTCATGTAATAACTAAAAAAAAATATTTTAGTTACGCATATCATTTTGGTATTGGCTTAAGAAAACTACACTTATTTTTAAGTGACTATAATAGTTATGAAAATATAACGATATATTATTATTTTATAATTTAACCGTATTATAAATTTAATTAACAATTAACAAAGAGGTATATATATATATATATATATCATATGTATTATACAATGTAATATATTTAAGAAATATTTATTTTATTTTCAAAGATTTTAATATAATATATATTATATAGATCACCTTTTAGAATGTTCTAGAGTTTTATTTTAACTATAATAAAATTGTTAATTTTGATTTGATCATAACCTTACATATCTGTACCTATATATACACGGTAGTGTATATATATAATATACATACGAAGCGATGTAAGAATGTTATAAGCTCGACACGAGGGTTGAGCAGTTCTATTAAATAGGGCCCTGTGTGTGATACACTTCCTTGAAATCATCAATCAGTATAAATATGTCACGGCCATATCCATACAAAACAGAGTATAGATATAATATGTGTGTGTGTGTTTTCATTCAACGTCATGTAAACTTTTGCGGGATAACTGTATAACGAATCACATGGACATATAATAATATATTATTATGGATTTGGTTTTTATTCACGGTTACCGCGATTATTCGTAGAACATACGTATGTATGGTATAAAGGTAGGTACGTTGTAAAATAGTATAGATATAAAAAAAAAAAAAGTAATCTTATTTTTACTTACGAAAATGTAATTTCATACTATTTTATACAACGATTTGATGGATGTTTTCGTCGTAAATATTATGTTGTTGATAAAACTACAAGTGATTTTTAAACAGGGATCACTCATCGTTGTATATATATATAAACATATGTGTGTATAGTGTATGTATATAAAAGTAGTTACTTGTATAATAGTGCCCGCTGTGGCGCCAAAGTAAACATAAAAATATAAAGGATGGATATTAACATTGAATAGGTACTTACTAAAAATAAACATTAAATTAAATAATAAATTATTTTATTTTGAAATTGCTGCACCTAACCTAATGAAATTCAATATTTATTTATTTAATTAACAATAACAAATGCCAAACGAAAGTTTTAAAAACAAATAAATATTATTTACAGTAACTATAACAATATAAATATAATATATTCCTATACAAAAAAAAATTAGAAATAAATAGATAAAATTAATTTAAATAAGACGATATTACACTACTAACCCAATATACATAGGTAATTAATACTTATATAACTAATACAAATATATTAAATTTATATATAATAAGACCATAGGCATGATTATTTAAATGATCAAAAGAGATATAGAGTTTATTGGTAGATATATGAAAAAGAGAATGATTTCTAGACTAAAGGTAAAGGTCGTGTAAGTTAATGTTGAAAAGGAACTATATAAGGTGCCATTTAAGCACCAAATAAATATAATAAAGTGCACGTCCGCATTACGTAGCGGGTAAGACGATAGCATCAGTACTTTTCTAGCATACTTTTTCTGAAAAAGTAATCAATGTCTAAAATGATCTATATCTAGAAAATAAAGAATTTTAATTTAGTGAATATAAGAGAAAGTCATGACATGGAATTTGTCTACATAAACGCTAAGATACTTAACCATTAACTACTACCATTAAATACTTACCATTATACCCAAGTGGTTAAAATTTCGAGATCAGATTAAAGAGTATTATAATTATGCGGACCATAAATTTTAAGGAAAACATAATATATCATCCACTATAGTAACGAAGCTTATTATTTGTGATAATCTACTTATATTGGTAACTGAGTTGGCAACTATAATAAAAATAGGAACACTAGCTCATAGATGTTTTCTTTGAGAGACCCTAATATAATCAAGAAATATCTCCTTATATTTTTACTTTTTTTAAATATTCAAAGTCCTGTTTTCATGCGACATTTTAAATACCAATAACTTAACCATACCGATACTCTACCAGCTGATCTACTTATCCATTTTGTGTATTTTAGGTCAAAAACTTGTAATTTTGTACACACACACATATATATATATATATATTATATAATTTAATTTTCAGTACTACTAACACTCAGTATAATATATAATATATACTGTATATTTCACTTATTATTATTGTACACAAATATATAACTTTATGTATGTATCTTATAAAATATAGTTTTCTCACATTTTATAGATACTTTTAAGTATAACTATACGCATTAAATTATTGCAAAAAGTATTATCACATTCGCGCAGTTTTCTATTATTTTATTTGCGTTGTAAACCTAAATCCTAATTTTTTATGCACAAGAATGGCTATATTAAACTTGTTTTATGGTTTAAAATTGTGATAAAGAATAGTTTTCTAAGTAAATAATACGTATGAATATTTAATGTTTAACACAAATAATCTTTTAAAGTTTAGCAAAAAATAGTGAAATTTTGTGCACTCTGCATAAAGTAGGTACAGGAAAAATGTATTTCTTTTTATACATTTTATTTATTACCACATCGCTTTTCTCATCATAATACGCACTTACTATATTGTTAAAGCACTTAAATGATTTAAAAAAAACAAATGTATTATCATTATGCTTTTAATACTTTTTACTAAAATCTTAAATGTAGGACAATATAATATAATATATTGTCTTATCATAGTAAAAACTAATAGGTACTACATACAAAAATGTAAATCTTGGGAAAATGGATTTTTTTTTTAATTTTTTTATTTTTTTAGTTATTAAAAAAATTATTCAATAATATTTTAGTCGTTAGTTGTAGTAATTACTAATTTATCTCAAAAATATTTTTGGATAGTTTTATTTTTGTTAAATCAATTATTAATACCTTTTTGATAAAATTGATAGTAAATAGTGAATACTGTGTTTATGATATTCAAAATTTATCACATTTATAAATAAATAAATACTCTGTATATATATTTTCATATTATTTAAATAAAAATATATAAAGCTATACCTACTTATCGTTATCGGTTAATTTAGGGTTAGCAAATTAGCAGATAAATATATAGACATACAGTATATTCCATATTTATTCCCCCAAATAAATGTACTAAACAGATAGATAAGCATTAAGCATGTAACTATATAACATAATATATACTGTGTTTTATTTTAGAATAAAAAAATATGTCATTATGTCATTATTTACAACTTATTTGTCTAGCATTTGGTAATATATTGGTATAGATACTACATAATTAATGTTTATTTTTACGATCTAAATTATGTTTCACTGTATTTTAAACTAATAAAATCGATTTAAAAGGTTCAATAAACTATACGTCGATAATTTATAGATTTGAAGTCAAGTTTTTAAGTATATAATTATTTTAATAATGCGATTTGTAAATTGTGAGTTTTATAGTCCTATATTAAATATTTATATATATTCGTCTCTTTATATTACGCATTAATGAGTAAATTTCAGAATCCGAATTACTGGACAAAATCTAAGATTATGAGAGTCACTTTGACTATACATTGTTTTGATCAATATTAAATTTATCATATATATTCATCATGTAATGATAAAATGTTGCCAAGAATATTTCATTAAATAAATTAACGTATACTCCAGTCGCTACTCAGGAGATTTCCGTCTATAAAATTACCATTTACCATTAATATATATATATATGTACAATGTTATTGAAATTTATATTTCATTAAGTAAATGTCTTATACGTTATTCGGTTTACAGGTGAGAAACCGCACAAATGTCAAGTGTGCGGCAAAGCGTTCAGCCAGTCGTCAAATCTAATTACGCATAGCCGGAAGCATACTGGGTATAAACCGTTTGCATGCGACCTGTGCGGTCGTGCTTTTCAACGTAAAGTCGATCTCCGCAGGCACAAGGAAACGCAACACACTGATTTCCGGTCGGGAAATCTCACGTAAGCCAACCACCCACTTCACCACACACACACACACAAAAAAAAAAAAATAAAAACAAAAAAAAATGTGTATAATAATTGTCGCGCATGTAACACTATATTATAATTCGCACCTGTATCCACTTTTACATTACATCGTTATACATTTACATGAATATATACTTATATATTATACTAAATATGTATATAAGTGTCTTATCGTTTCTTCTGTTTCTTTATTTTTAAACTTCATTGTTTACAAAGTTTTTCCAACTTCAATGGTCAATGGTAAATCATTATAATTAATTATTATTAGTATTATTATTATTATTGTCGTTATATTGAAATAAATATAAATCGTAGTCGCTGTGTGTACATAGTGTATCATAATATTTTATTAAATTGTACATGCGACGACGTGCGACGCCATGTATGGCATGTATTTCTTAAATTAATTTATATAATTCATATTATAATACTTAATATTGTGTATTTGTAATATATAATAAACACAAGTCTTATGCTAAGTATAAGATCAATGAGTATAAATATAGTTATATCATATATATCATTATGAACATGCTTTTAATAATTATTATATGTATCATATAACATATAATAGCTGTGTTCTTGTTTTCATACAAATGTTTCCATATTATTTATTTACGTATTTATTATCATTATTATTATTATTATTATTATTACTATTATCATTATTATTATATTATTATTTTTTTTTACCCTAAATAGTTACCTGTATTGTCTAGCTTTTCTTAATTAATAACAATTTTTAATGTATTTATAATATGTATTTTGTTTGATGTTTATGTAATTTACGACAATTTTGTTTTGTTGAATAAACAAACTTATCATTTTAACACATTTCGTTTCAATTGTCATTTGGAAAATTGAATAAAACAAATGCGTCGTTATCTGCATTGGCATTGAAACCGCATTCAAATTTTCTTCTTTGTATTTAAACCTTTGAATCTATTTTAATAATGTTTATTAAGAAAAACGTATTAAAAAAAATGTTAAGCTATACCAATGGTATAACATTTACTGCAATAGCAATACAGATTAAATTATAATCTACAGCTCACAAATCTTATACCTAACTAAATATTCATAGAAGTATGTTTTACTGTATTTGTCTTGATATTATTGTTACCTATTTTACTAATCAGAATAAATATTCTTTATCGTGGAATATGTATAAATTACTGCGAAATACAATAAAAAATAATGCATACCACTATGGCGTATATAGCAATATATATATTGCCTTCACATATTCTAGCTCTACAGTCTTATACAATTGAATTAATTATAAAAACCAAAATTTTAATAATAACATTTACTTATTAACTTATTGTATTTTTATTTGAGTATAATTTATATTTCAGGAAATTAATTGATTATCTGTCTTATTTTTAATGTAAATAAAATTAATAAATTTTCCATGAATATAATCATGAAAATAAATTTATTTTTGATACCACTTAAAATAAATACATGTATACATGGATATATTTAAAAATGATACGTTTAGTAAAATTATACTAAATAGAGTTTATATTTAATTTAAATTAATATTAGTTAAATTCATAGCGTATATAATAAAGACATTATCTTCAATAATCATTTTCAGATGACCTCAAACATAGTAAAGTTAAAAGTTGGATATTACGAATACTATAGTAAATATGCGTGAGTATTACAAAAATGAATGATGATTTTTATTCAAGAAAAAAAAACTTAATATCACATTATATGAAATTTAAATTATGTAATAATTATTCTGAATACATTTTTAATATATCTTTTATTATTATTATAATTTTAAAGAATTTCTTATCCAAATTAAAGCAAGTTTAATTAGTCCAATAATAAAGAAAATTTAAATTATAAAATGTTTCTAAATCGAAAAAAATCTTTTATTATAAATACGTTTTTTATATGGTTTAAATGGTTAAATTATTAATTTAAATTTATATCATTAAAAACTTGCAATAACTCAAATAAAACAATGCTATCAACCGATAAAATTATTCTACTTAAAATATGTTATTAAATATGATAACTACACAGTATTATGATTTAAGTTTGTTTGTTGAATTTGTTCATTTCATAAAACAAAACAAATGGTTCACAATGTAACTTGTAAAACAATGTAAGTATATAATAATATATAATAGATACCTATAGCGGCTATAGCTGATACAATTTACACCCAACGTACCCGATCGATTTTTTTTTTTAACAATTAGTTTAAGCTACATCGTGTTTTACATAAAATAGGTCATGAATGGATAAAAAAACAAATGAAACCCGTTCATCAAAAAATTTAAAAACAGTGTTGATTAACACTACATCAGTAATGATATTTATATTAGAAGAGTGCAATCATTAATCAAACTGCTACAAAAAATATTATTTTTATTACATTTTTAATATTTTGATTTAATATTTGAATTTGTTTAATTGTGGAACAATATATCTCTATTGATTTAAAATACTACATCTTTTTAACTTTAGGTACTGCTGCTTTTGTGACGTTAAAATTTTAAAACAAAATCTGACCTAAAATTGAATTCATCATTAACAATATAATATACCTATAGCTTCGATTTTCATAACACTGTGCAAAATATTTTAAACATTAGACTATACCTACTAGCTATAACAACGTAATGCACATATACAATATTTAACAAATAACTAAAATGTTGAGTTATTTTAAAATCACTTACATAACGGGATAATTTTTTTTTTTTTAAGTTACTATTAGTTTTAACTTAATAAGTTAAAGGGATTCGATACTTACTGTTTTTTTTATTGTCTAAAACATGAAACATAAATATTCAGACGTGTTTTTGCCAAACGTAACGATTGATGGTCTAGTGAAACGATAAGAAATCTGAAAAAAAATTTTAATTTGTCATTAAGTTTACTTGAGGTTTTCTTTCCCACATTTAATTTTTTTTTTTTTTTTGTTATAACTTCTTCAAAAATTGAAATAAAAGTTTCAATTTTAATTTTTTTTTTTTTTTTTAATATAACTATTCTTGGATTTAAAGTAATAAAATCAAAAATATAGAAAATTCGACGTTTTCACGCGAAAAATTTAAATCTGTTTTCAGATTTAATATCAATTCATTATATCAATCGGTACATTTGACAAAGAAGACATTTAAATTTCTATGTTTTTTTTTCGCATGCATTGGACAAAGACAGAAACTGCCAGAATCGAATCTCTTTAAATTTGTTTCAATTATAGGGTTGAAATATCGTTGAATGGCTTTCTGTTAATTTTTATCATATTTGTAATTTTTTTATCATAATACTTAAAAAGTTAAAACACTTATTATTAAATAATTTAAAGTATAGTAAAATAACGAAAACGTAAAGAAAAATGTTCTGATTAATAATATGTAAATAATATACCATTTTTTTTTTTTTTACTTCTAGCAACGATGATTGTAGTCCGATGTTAAATATTGATAATTATTAAGTTGAAACTTTTTAGTTCCGAAAATCACACACAAACCATCCGTTGTGATAAACAAAAACATAAGGAATATCGCAGTATTTGTTTCGGTTCAGAATCTAAAACGCACTTCGGTTGGCCTTTGGAATTTGAGTTTGTGACACGAATTTCAAATCGATATTATATTATATTGCACGTCTATATATTATATAGGTTAACATGAGATTGGTAAATAGATATAGCGAGTTTGCATAAAAATATATTTTTAAAATTATGGTTTATCTCAAAAACACGTATATGAGCTGCATAACTCACATCCGGACTGTATCCAACATATTACATCGATTCAAAAACTATATATGTACAATGTACAACATTGCAAATATGCTGAATAAACAATTTTTTTTTTTTTTTAATAAACTTAAACGCGTCGAATAAATTTTTATCTCCTTTTTATTAGGCGCACGCCCAAGGATTTTATCCGCGTGACCTTCGCCGCCTCCGACTTTTCAATCATTTTATATTTGTCCGTATATCATATTATATTATATTGTATATATGTATAATATACTATATAGGCACGTATATGAGGGACGCACCCCGGCACGAGCGCCAACGCATATATATACCTATATATATATATATACGTGCAGGTTTCTCATCGAGAGGTTTTCACGAACATAAATATATAAATATGCCGTTTTTATTCCTCCTCGCGCTTTTGAATGTTGAACGATCTTTGCTGACATTTTTTCTCTTCTTTTTTTTTTACGCTCGATTTTGCTTCCGCTCACACTCCCTGCATACAGGCGGACGATCCCTCGGAGAATCCCGTTTCTCCTCCCTTACCCGATCTATGCCGCTCAATCACACTCTATCTCTGCACATGCATACGCGTATATACTAATATATGTATACTACACAGAGACAATATGATATATAATATATTATATCGCATACGTACGGCTTGTACTGTGCGGTATGAATTCGAAATCAATAACCCGTGCTATGTATGTAATATTGCATTATATTATTTGTTCTTGTTCGCCGGTACACGCGCGCCGCAGCGGATTGTGCATCCAAAAAACAGCACACTATTATTATACTACACTGTACAATATCCGTGCACAGTACGTTGCACTCTTGGTGATTGTATATGTAACATAAAACCTTGATTTTGACTTCAACCGGTCTTTGCCACGAATTGTACTGTTCAGTGGTGTATCTAAGATTTTTTATGGGGAGGAGGGTAAATTTTAATTATATAAGATACAATTTTCTAAGTAACTATAAAATACTAAAAAATTAAATTGTATTTGTGTTTTGATTACTGAAGTTTTACATTATCTGAAAAGGGAGGATAATAATTAATATAAATATGATAATTTATAAAACAAATTCAAATTTTTTTTTCCGTTTTATTAACTTGTTGATAAATTTTATTTATTTAGCTATTAAAAAAGTATATTAAACAACCACTAGTTACGACAATATATCTATTTTGTTAATGATGAGGTATCACAGCGCCTAAGTAAAATTACCTATACCTACGTTTCTAATAAATTTAAAATACTAGATTCGTAAATCTCGAACGTAAATAATAATATTTATTTTTATTTTTATAACATACTTTATCAACAACATGAATTCAAAAATGTTTAAAATATATTGTTATCGTCAGTATTTAAGTATTTCGTTTCCTTTATACACGAGTTCAAGAAAATATAAATAAAGGCATATAATAAATTTTCTGAAAAGAGGAAAACGCCAACAAACCTTCTCACATATATACGAAAAGGATTATATTTACGTCTCTACAATGTCATGTAGATGTAACATTATTGTATAGGTAATCGTTTCCTACTATAAAAAAACCACATTATTACTCGCGGTTTCTCATTCCACGTATGTATAATTTTCCGAGTAATTTATAAAACCATGGAACAGTTGTTCTGATAAGACTTTAGTTGTCAGATGTAGGATTTGAGGTTTTAAAGTTATTATCAAATGGTTAGAGTAAACAATTGCAATCAAAAACAGCATAAACCATACTATTACATTAAAACCGCTACAAAAACGACGAACTT